TCCAACAGGTGTTTTTCAACCGTTCAAGTTTTAAAACCGGAAATATCCGAAAGTGTCTCCTGCTTAGTACTTAACTTGGTATTCTCTTGTTTGGTTCAATAACTGCAATATCCGAAAGTGTCTCCTGCTTAGTGCTTAACTTGGTATTATTTGTTTGGTTCAATAACTGCAATATCCGAAAGTGTCTCCTGCTTAGTGCTTAACTTGGTATTATTTCTCTTGTTTGGTTCAATAACTGCAATATCCGAAAGTGTCTCCTGCTTAGTGCTTAACTTGGTATTATTTTTCTTGTTTGGTTCAATAACTGCACCTCTTTATCTCCCTTATTCAATGACAATGTTAATTCTATGACCAGATGATTCTCATCACGTTAGGGTGGTTCATTTTTTTCGAAATATAATTAAATCTTGCAGCTTATCTGTTAACGCGGGTGTACAATATTTTTTGTGTATCATCCGCCAATTTTAAACAGAGAACAATCTCTAAATTTCGTTTATTTAGGCATGAAGGAGTTCTTTTAGTGCTTCTAAAGCGTATTTCTTTAATATAAATGGTAGAAAAAGGAGGGCAGGTTTCTATAACGACCTCTGCAACGGCAATCTCAAGCGATCAAGTTAGAGAGAAAATAAACTCGAAGAACTTCTTAACTATGCTCATTTAGCTGTGTGGGAATGAGTGTAGAGATAAGATAAGATCACAGAATAAGATATATACACTCTCGCTATAAGTGGTACTGCCAATTAAAGGTCTGATTTACGCGTGATGGAAGGTGGAGGATTGAAATAATCTACCTCACCACTTACTTACGTCTTACAGTTACCCCTACTTACTACTCTTTCTACTTACTAATACTACTCAATGATTCATAGTAGTATTAGCTATATAGTAGTTGCATGTGTAGTTAATGATATCTTTAATTTATTTACTTTACAGCTCACTATGTAATCAAGGCAACAAGTTTGTAACTGGCTGGAGAGGGTTGGTAGTACCCCAACATAGCAAACTTGTGTTTCATTTGTTAATGTTTTAAGGTGGATTCTCACAGACATTAGCTCCTTCTCCAGGAAGTAAAGAAGTATGGTACTTGTATTATAACCAACAAGTTAGCCCGTCTTTGTACTTCGAGGGCAGCAGTGCACCTTCCCCAGTCCCGAAATCTTTTCCCCGTAAATATTATCCCATGATCTGTAAAATCGGCGAATAGATCCTACCAAAATTGGACATATGATCATTACTGAGTACAGCTGCAGTCTTGTTATTGGGTGATTTTAAGCGCTGGTGTACACAATACAATTTCTGCACTACATCGTATACAGATGTCATATTTGTAGCGTCAGTATAGTAGTCAGTAGTCTATATGTACGGTATTGTTGTCTGTACTGAGTGACCTATTTTATTCAGATCGAGAATCTCGTACATATTTCCGTGCATAATATCGCATATTCTCGTATATAATATCGCATATTCTCGTATATATACGAGATAATGTTCGGCTCTCAATACATTCTTATCTTCTCATGATCATTGAAAATTTGACGTACATGTCTACTGTCTAGGAACCCTATTTTAAACATCCTTTTGTTTCGTGAAATTCATGAATTTCCGAGGAAAATGTTCTGGTTAAGCTGGTTGGTTTATTTAATTGCTTGCACGCATGCTTGCTGCATGTTTTATATTTATACCTGTTAACAGCTTATCAGGCCAGTGAAGCGTGCACGTAACTTTCCGTCATTATTGTAACCCTGCTGTTGTTAATTAGCCGATCGTGCGAAGTTGAGATATTCTTCATTTCAACATAACAATTTAAATATCACGCCTTGTTGCATCGAACTGCAGTTTTCAAAGTATCAGTGCGCACAAATTTGCAATGATTTCCCGAAATTGAACGGGAAATAAGATTTATAGTTCTTAATTCACCTGATTTCTTCCTCTGTCTACTTTAACTAACTTTTAATTAGAACAAGATAACGTCGACCAAGCTTGTGCTCTATTTTCGCTGGCCCAAAAAAAGACAATCTCACAGCAATTTCACGCCTCTGCTGACCTCCAAGTACCGATAAGTAGTGGAGAGTACAATGTACAATGTACATTTTAACACAGTTTGTGTTAATCTGATGTTGTTTGAAGTGGAATTAGCAGTGTTGAAGGAATGGACTTACATCGTCTTTAGATTTCGTTATTTCCACTTCTTTACTTGTGATAATTGAATCAGAATTGAATCAGTTTTATCAGATTCATTATATAATACGGTACATACCAATTAAACATTTTCGTTGTTTTTGTTCTCACTGTTCTTTTGCTAATTCCTGCTACTGTGTCCATTGTTCACTGTTCATGCCTGAATTCCAAGGGGGAGGTAATGATACACTTTATGATCAATCATTAGCAAAAGAGGCAATGTTACTTTTTATGATCAATAGACAAATAAATAAATCATAATCATTAGTAATTATTAAATAGGACGACAAGACTCGTTAATTTAACTACAGTAATGGCTAATGTTACAATTAGGAAACATCCAGATGCTTTATTCATGCTTTAATGTGGTATGCCGTCGTAATAATCAATATAATGATTTAATAATAATAATACTCTATATATATATAGGACCTCCCGTGTGATTATTTATAAACGTTAAACACTTACTCTAGGGTGTGAAGATAAAATAAATCATCCAATCTTGAGCTAAACCCTCAGATCTAGAACCACCGGCTTCTAGTACCGGATCTATTAATACCTCTTGTGATCCCTACAACATGTATTTTTAGCACACAGCTGTTTGTTCTAGTGTTAAATATGTTAATCCCCTATCACATTGTGTGCCTTTATTTCCTATGTTATGAGGTATCTCAATTACTGTTCTACAAACCAAATAGTGTAATGTTATATGTGCCCGTATCTCAATTACTGTTCTACAAACCAAATAGTGGCCATGTAACGATTTAATAACTATTCGAAACAGTGAAGCTCATAATGCCACATAATGCCACATAATGCCACATAATGCCTTGTCGGGCCAGGTATATCATTTATTTGCAAAATACCAATCAGTGAGATCCCCCGCCTCCTATTTCAACTGTTGAAATAGCCGTGCTGCAACTTTTGTTGTTGTCAGCTTGTAATGTGTCTGTCCTATATCATCAGGTTCATTCTAAACTAGTGCATACACTCATTCTTGAAATTTTCAAGAGTTATACCAAATTGGTTGCTTCTCAGTTCAGTCAAAAGTCGGGTGACTTATATCGTCAACGCTGCATTGTAAATTTAAAATGTCACAGTTTGTCAGATTGTTCATAGTTTGAACTTCCTTGTAATTTTTGATATTTACAACATTTTTAACATCTTGGTCTAATGGTCTTGTCAAGAAAATGTATTTCTCACAATTTGTATTTCTCACAATGTTCAGACTTCAGTGAGGGTAAATTGTAACTTTTTCGTGATTTCCGGCGTTTAGAAAAAATTTCCAATGAGCTGACATAGAAACCTCCATGTAATTGCAACATTACAATTTCCGCTACCTAATTTGCAGTATGTACTTTGAAAATTACTGCCGACAAAAATTCAAATTCATTTAATTGATCGTGAATGTGCCCGCATATGATAATGATAATGCCAACATTTTGTCGGGAGGTACATTTCTACCACGGTACTTCTATACAGTGAAACGTTATCCGTCGAAAAAGTTATCCGTATGACTTATGACCCGAATATATCATATAAATCTGAGGAATTGTCTGCCATGCTGTACACCGTATTACCGTGCTGGCTTCTTATTTTGGTTGGACGTCCAAAGTACATTGTAGTTTGTACACTGTTCCGTCATACATTTCTTAGTTCTACTTCTTATTCATTTTTGGATCAGTGATAATTTATCTATTAGCGTGTTATAATCACAGCAAACTCCGTTTTTGTTTTCTTGTGAAATAAAAATGCTGTGAAATAAAATGCTACAAACGCTGTTTGTAGTCATACCCTAGCTCCATAATATGAAGAATTTGTTTCACTTCCAGATGAAAAGCTCTAATAATTAGGTTTTCTTTGCTATTGAGTGACTTTTCGTAGTTTTGTACCTTTGCACTGAATTACTTTAACTGAATTAGAGCTTGTGAGTTGTTTTTTTTAAAATCAAATCATTTTGCAGAAATTGAGCCCCATCGCACGACGTCAAAGTTACGATGACCATCGTCCATCTGCAGTAATAAATACATTAACTGACTATTACTAAACTACTTTGTACTTTGTAGTTTAGTAATAATATCTGACAAGTTTATATTTTCCTGAAGCTTATAGCCAACACTTGCCTATTGCACGTTTAGCTTCTTACCTTCTGACTTGTAAAATATGTAAACACTAAACATGGAACAGTAACAAAAAACGGTATGGTGGGGAGATTCGAATGTACTCATTGCATAATACATATTCACTATGAATATCAAAAACATTCACACCCTCTTAAATTACACTGCCTGGGCTATGACACGGTATCAAATTAAACATCGCAAATATGTTCGCAATGTTTCTCATATGATGTTATCGGTCTTTAGTCTAAGTTTTGTCACCGTTTAGTTTAACAAGCCTTACTCTTAGCTCGATTTGAAACTCCCTTTTTTCATGTTTACAACCAGAGCCGATAGTTTATATTATGATATTTAACACTCTGACTCTATGATTAATTTCGTTCTATGGCATAGAACGAAATTAATCAAAATCATCGCGCACCATCATCACCACTGAACAGTAACCCCTTATTATGAGGATAAGGGGTTATCAGAATGATGAAAAGTATTCACATTTAGTGAACCTTATTATTAATATTAAGAATTCTTCAACTTTGTTCTTGTCATAACGAAGATTGAAAAAAAACTGTTCACGTTTGCTCAATATTAAATGATGATTGTGCGCGAGGATTTTGATTAATTCTGTTCTATGCCCACGTGGGCATAGAACGAAATTAATCACAGAGTGTCAAATCTCATGTTAGTTATCAGCTCTGGGAAGTGGTGCACAGTGATCACTATTCTGATACCCCTTCTCCTCCCTAGTCCATGTAACTGGTCCGTGTCCCCTACCGTGTCATGTGAACAGGTCCTTGAGCCATCTCTTTATGGCATGGCTGTACGTCGCTCTCATAAGTGGGGGTTTGGGGGCCGTCATAGCCCTTTCCCTCACCCTCTTCGCTCTGCTCTTCCTTAAGAAGAAGAAAAAGTTAGTCTTGTTTTCTGTTTATTTGTAGATATCACTATTCTAGATATCAGTAGAGCTTTTAAATACTTCCAAGAAAAGTTCTGATTTCCCTGATTTATAAAGTTTTCAGACCTTGACAGAATCACGAAATGAGACCCATGATCACAGTGCTAGCTATCCAGCAATTACTTAATTAATTACTTAATTACTTGAATCTAGAGCTTCAGTATCATGATACTGCAGGTACAGACCGTTCGAGGAGCGGAGACAGGAGTTCATGAGGAGCAACAGCAAACATCTCACGCCTGATGGTAAGGCTTGTTAACTTCCTCCTTTTTATCAGCGGGACATCCGGACGTGTTTTTCAGGATGTTTAGAGTCTATAATAATTGACTAGATAAATATAATAATTTATCAGTTCCCAGGCCCCTCCGTAATGTGTGTGATTAATTGTTTTTCGTGGGAAGAAAATTCCCCACGTACGTGATTAATTCCATTTTCAGCTGGTTTTTTATCACGTACCATGGGCGTGACAAAATATGGTGAATCAGCTGACTTACGTTAGCACGTTCCTTAACAAAAATGTGAAGTTCTCCTAGGTAGGATATCACGACCAGAGAGCATGAATTGGTTGAACCTGATGATAAAACTGTTTTACGAGACCAATAGAAATGCTATTTTCGTAAAGATGAAGGAGATGTTAGATCCGATTCTTGCTGAGGTCAAACCTGGATACATATCTAAGATTGTTCTTACGTGAGTTTTTTTTAGTGGTGTAAACTCTTTCCGGATGGTGCCGGAAATTGAAATCACTTTTTTAGAGGAGGGTTAACAAATTTGTATCGTCGATTTTTACAGTTGAAAATATTTTTGTCCCGGAAAACGGCAGAAATGAAGGGGTTCAATTAATTGTCTCTGTTCACGTAGTTTCAACTCGTGACATTTCCACATTTCCACTTTTCCAGGCAGTTTGATTTCGGAACTTCAACTCCAGTAATAGAGGGAGTGACGGGATCTGATACAAGATCTGAATCACAGCACGATACCAACGGAGGGAGCCCTGAGCCTGGCTCCTACAATCCTAAACGATTCTACATTCTGGAGATGCGACCCGTTATTAGCTCTAACGACTTTAAGATGATGTTCAAGGTTCGTACAGAGGAATGTGGGATGAATGCTGCTCAAGGTAGGACAACAAATCATTGTTATAGACAGTATTAGTAAGACTGTAAATTAATGTGTTGTGATTTAGCACATCTTGTTTTATGATCTTGAATCTTGATGACACCAGATACATTTAGGTTGAATTTAAGATAAAGAACTTGAGTATAGACGTGCTGTTGAAGGACGTGCATTACTGTGGGAAGTGTAAATTTGTGGTGGAGCTAGACAAAACTAAAGCCTTCCCCTGCATCACTCGTGTCTTTATCACTCTGATGGAGCGACCAAAGGTAAGCCTTCCCCTGCATCACTCGTGTCTTTATCACTCTGATGGAGCGACCAAAGGTAAGCCTTCCCCTGCATCACTCGTGTCTTTATCACTCTGATGGAGCGACCAAAGGTAAGGCCTTCCCCTGCATCACTCGTGTCTTTATCACTCTGATGGAGCGACCAAAGGTAAGGCCTTCCCCTGCATCACTCGTGTCTTTATCACTCTGATGGAGCGACCAAAGGTAAGGCCTTCCCCTGCATCACTCGTGTCTTTATCACTCTGATGGAGCGACCAAAGGTAAGGCCTTCCCCTGCATCACTCGTATCTTTATCACTCTGATGGAGCGACCAAAGGTAAGGCCTTCCCCTGCATCACTCGTGTCTTTATCACTCTGATGGAGCGACCAAAGGTAAGGTCTTCCCCTGCATCACTCGTGTCTTTATCACTCTGATGGAGCGACCAAAGGTAAGGTCTTCCCCTGCATCACTCGTGTCTTTATCACTCTGATGGAGCGACCAAAGGTTTGTCTTCAATCCTTTTTTTTTTTTTTTTTTTTTTTTTTTTTTTTTTTGGGGGACTGGTCCGTAGTACCAGCCAATGTTTACTCAAAAGTAATATATAATTGAAATAAGTTAAATATTCATCCCCGAGGGGCACGCAGATTATAATTGTGATGTTATCTATTAAAACTATTCGATTAAAATTTTATTGGTCGAGTCGACTGGCCCTGATCTGCAAACATATTTGATATTGGTAACTTTATGATGCTGCCTCACCGCAATTAGGTGTGTTATCAGTGTAGATATGCGCTATGTGGCAGTGAAATAAGGAATGTGCTGTTAGAATGGCAGGTGGTTAGAAATGTTGTCCTGATTCAGATTGTTTAATTTGAGCTGTATGAGTTTGGTTTTGAGTGATTATTGACTATGTTCTTTGTGATTTACGTAATCCAGGTAGGTTGTGGAGTAAAAATGGTGGCCATTCGTCGTTGCAGCCAGCACTTTGCAAGTCTAGTAGTACTTTTTTTGACGAATTCTTATATATGTTGATAGAAAATATACTGGATGGGCATGTAATGCGAGTGTTATGCTCTGAAATAGCGAGCATTGGGCCTTTATAAAAGATGCTAGATCTCAGGTCAGTCTGTGAGTAAATTGATAACCAGTCTAAGTTTTGTTCGTGTGTCGTTCCTTGTTTGGGTGTGTTAGGAGGGAAAAGTTCTGAAATCGATTTAGGTAACAAACTAGACATATTTCGAACTTTGTGCAGTAAAATAAGTGCGTTTTTAACGATAACCCCTTGAACGGTTAAGACCTCGTGTTCTTTAAATGCTAGTTTTGTGTGCTCTGGCAGTTTTCCGTCCTTGTAGTAGTAGTTCACATTTCCGGCCATAACTGCCCTCATACCTTGTTTTTGTTTAGCAAAAAGAGATTCTATAAGAGATTTTGAAGCAAATCCCCAGACAAGTGAGCAGAAGTTTAAATGGGACTGAACAAAACTTTGGAAAATCTGTAAACGGGCCTTCATTGGCAATTTATGTTTTATCCTGTACATCACCCCAATAAATCTTGACATCTTGCTCCTCAGTGCTTTTATGTGGCTACTCCAGTTAAGCTTTTCATCTACAATTACACCAAGAAACCGGGCTTCAGTTTTACGTTCTAATACTGTATTTTCTATTTGTACTTTAATCAATGATGGTTCTATGCGCTTTTTCGAGAAAATCATATAACACGTCTTTTTTAGATTTAGTGCTAATCCGTTGCTATTAACCCACCGTGATAATGTTTCCGTTAGTTGGTTGACCCTTAGCATTAGTTCTTGGACATTGGAACCGTTAATAATGATATTTGCATCGTCTGCATAAAGTATGAATTTTACCATCATGTTAGAAATACCGGGAAGATCGTTGATGTATATGACGAAAAGTAAGGGACCTAGTATGCTCCCTTGTGGAACACCATGCACAATAGGCTTGTGGGACGAATGTGAATTGTTTATTGCTACATATTGGCTTCTATCACTTAGGTATGACTCAAACCACTTTAGAGCTATTCCCCGGATGCCGTAGTGCTGTAATTTATTTAGCAGTGTAGCATGATCCAGGACGTCAAACGCTTTACTGTAATCTAATAATAGCAGTAGTGAAATTTGGTTTTTGCTAAGAGAGTGTAAAATTGTACTTTGTGCATTAAGAAGAGCATGTTCACAGGACCTTCCTGGACGGAACCCATACTGATTTTCGAATAAAGAACTATTTTTGTTGAGAAATTCTAAGACACGTCGGTGCATCAGTTTTTCGTAGATTTTTGAGAAGGAACCTAAGAGAGAGATGGGTCTATAATTTTCAACGTCAAGTTTAGAGCCTCCTTTATGGATGGGAGTTACTTTGGCAATTTTAAGGGCCTGTGGAAATATGCCTGTACTTAAGGATTCGTTGATAACTTTTGCTAATATAGCAAGGAAACTATCGCTGGAACTGGCTACTTTTAGTGGTTCAATTTTTGTGGTTCAATTTTTGTGGTTCAATTTTTGTGTCAATCCTGAAAACCATTTTTATTGACACTCTTTTGCCAATCGTTAACAATCACGTTCAATAATTTAGTTGAAACACGTTTCAACTAAGATATGAGGCATTTTCTTGAACACCCACATTTCGTTTACTTCCAGGTAGACTTCAACATTGAGTTCCTTACGAACCTGGATATGGACATACTTCCTGGACTCAAGGATTGGATAAGGAATATTATTGAGGATAGTGTGGCTAAAATGTTAGTCTTCCCAGGACGGATATATCTTGATTTTCAAAAGGTTTGTTCTTTTCAGTACAATGCAGCTTTAACGTTTGGTGGAATCAAAATTGTTGGTGTGAAATCATTCGATTTTCTCGACGAAATGCATAATCAATGACAATTAAGAAGAACAGGATATCTTAATTAATTAATTAATTACCAGGATGCAGTTGAAACTCTCATTATCCCCCGGAACCCCTCTTTAGCAATTGGAGTACTGTTAGTTGATATTGAAATGTACCTGCTATCTTACACAGGGACTATGTACCATCAGGACCTTCAAATCAAGGTAAAACATCCAGACTTAGTAAAGATGACCTCTAGCAGTGATACCTTACTTTAGTCTTTCACAGCTGTGAGGTTAGAACCAATAACAGGAGTACACTTCTCCTACTCCTTTATAAAGAAACACATTGTTTGCCACATCGCGTGATCTGATCACGAGTGCATTATCTAACGGCCGGTCAAGGGTCCTGAAATAAATATGCACTGTATAGTGTATATTGAGTTGAGCACCCATGACCATCCATTAGACGAGTCCCGCTGAATTATAGACTGATTGTTGGATATGCAGGGGAGTTGAAATTGAATTGATATTGCATTACGACATGCGAATTTTCAAATTAACTTCAAAGGTCCAATTTCCGGTGCAAATATGCAGATAAGATAATTTTCAGTGCTAACATTGTTTGGAGGTCAAATGATTGCAAAGTGTTTATGTTCTTATCTTAAAACGAATGAATCTGATTAACAGCCGAAAAAGGGAAATATAACTCATAACTGACTGACTTCACTCTAATCCAGTAATATGTTTCCATTTTCATGAACAACGCACCAATCTGTGAATCTGCAGCAAAATCAACATTGATAACATTCAGGCTTCCCCTGAAAATTGTAGATTTAATAACAATCACTTCCCCTTATCAGCTCTATTCAGAATGCAAACACGTGATTATCTAACACGTCATATTTATGTGGTTTATGCTCTTGAGTTTCTATCGCTAGGATATTTTAAAACTAGATCAAAGACAATACTCGTACACAGTGTAGACTTTGAGCTATATTTCTCGTCTGAAACGTTTCTATCATTTAAAATGACTAACCCTACTATTAGAGTATTCTAGTGAAATTGTACTCCATTAAATCTATATCTAACCAAGTTCCTTTAAACTTAAAGTTGAAATGTTCCAAGCTCTCTGAACACATTCCCCTCTCTTAAGTTAAAACCTTCCAAAACTGAACCGACCCCCTAGATAAACGTTCCCCATCATCCTTTAAATTTGTATTTAACAGGTGAAGACGCAAAACGCAGAACGAGAAACAGTAGTTCTCCTGAGTAACGACTCATCTCGGACTGTGAAAATGTTCAACATGTTCGTGTATGATTACGATGAGGTCCTGAAAGTGTCGGTTCAGAAGTGTAACCATATCCAGGCCCTCTCCGGACAGTTCATATCTTCTAATAAATACGTTTCTACTGAGGTTAGGATATCTAGTTTGTTATCGCGAGAATGTGCTAACATTTTACGAGGTTTATAATTGTTCTATAAAATTTGTCAAACGGACAAAAATTATCTGAAAGTTATTGGTAATATTGGTAATATCGGTAAAATTATTCACACTTCAAATTTATCAATACAGATAATTTTGTTGGAGGCATTTCGAGATGCAGTTATTGAGAGAACTTTGGAAAACCGGTCAAAGAATGTTGGACTGAAAGTGAACGCTAAAATAGAGGTCCTTCCAATGGTGCCTATACACCAAGTCAATACTGATGTTACTGGTGCGTGGGTATTATTTACGTTTAAAAAGAATCTAGAAATTTTATTATTTAGTCGATTTTTAGTGATGCGTGGGTATTATTAACCATACAAAATAATCGAGAAACTTCATTACGTAGTCGATTATCATCTAGAATAGATATTAAATATTTGGCACTGAAGAAAATTGTATGACAAAGAGTTCTGAGAATTGGTCGCACATCTTTAAAAAACCTTTAGAAATTAATAGCGTCAGATAACAAAGCATTCTTAAAACGTGGCATAATCTCAGACTACAGAGTAGTAGTGGGAGAGGAACAAGCGATGGGAGGCAGCAAGTTAAAACCAATACCCATCCTGGGATCTCCTAGCGGGGTTCTCCAGATCCACACCCACTATGCTACAGATCTTATTAGTGAGGACTTCAACGGTAAAAGTGATCCGTACGTCAAGCTGTTCATTAACGGTGAACTGGAACATCGTTCCAAAACGGTTAGTTTCTATTGAGGGAGAGAGGGGTGGTTCACGTCAAACTGGAGTATTTGAACTGGTACTGCTAACTCTGCTATAGGATTTAGGAATCACTTTTTATTTTTACCTTCCATTCGCTGAACACCATTTTAAGATGATTTGTTTCATCGCCTAGCAGCTGTTAAAAATCCGAACAATATTTCAATGGCATTCACTATTTTTATATCATTCACTATTTTAATGCAATTAACTATTTCAATATCATTAACTATTTCAATATCATTAACTATTTCAATATCATTAACTATTTCAATATCATTAACTATTTCAATATCATTAACAATCTATAGGTCCCTAAGACACTGAATCCAGTTTTCAACGACATATTTGAGCGAACAGTGATAGACATAAACACTGTAGTATCAGTTAAGTTGGAGCTCTACGATGCTGATGATATTGGAACTGATGACTTCCTAGGTTACACTCAAGTGGACCTACCTTCTACCAACGCTTACAACTTCTTAAAAAAGTTTGTTAGAAATTTAACCTTAAGGCTTTAATTATCTGGATTATTTAACCTTATTCAGCTCTAGCTATATGATATGGTATACCTTAATCGTAAGTTTTGTTTTCAGCCTCTTCGTTCTTAGCAAACAGATATTATAGTTTGGTAGATTTAGCTAGTTTTAGTTTCTAATTCCAGGTTAGGTTCTAAGTATTTGTATTGTATTAATCACATCGTAGGTACGATTTAATAAGAAAGCCTGGAGAGAAGGCAGGTGAGATATCTGTCTCTGTTATATTTAGAGGTATACAGCTGAGTGGGGAGATACGTCGACCTTCATCTCCTACCGTCCCGGTTAGTTCCTGGGCTGCTCAGTAATTCTACCGTCCCGGTTAGTTCCTGGGCTGCTCAGTAAGTACCGTCCCGGTTAGTTCCTGGGCTGCTCAGTAAGTACCGTCCCGGTTAGTTCCTGGGCTGCTCAGTAAGTACCGTCCCGGTTAGTTCCTGGGCTGCTCAGTAAGTACCGTCCCGGTTAGTTCCTGGGCTGCTCAGTAAGTACCGTCCCGGTTAGTTCCTGGGCTGCTCAGTAAGTACCGTCCCGGTTAGTTCCTGGGCTGCTCAGTAAGTACCGTCCCGGTTAGTTCCTGGGCTGCTCAGTAAGTACCGTCCCGGTTAGTTCCTGGGCTGCTCAGTAAGTACCGTCCCGGTTAGTTCCTGGGCTGCTCAGTAAGTACCGTCCCGGTTAGTTCCTGGGCTGCTCAGTAAGTACCGTCCCGGTTAGTTCCTGGGCTGCTCAGTAAGTACCGTCCCGGTTAGTTCCTGGGCTGCTCAGTAAGTACCGTCCCGGTTAGTTCCTGGGCTGCTCAGTAAGTACCGTCCCGGTTAGTTCCTGGGCTGCTCAGTAAGTACCGTCCCGGTTAGTTCCTGGGCTGCTCAGTAAGTACCGTCCCGGTTAGTTCCTGGGCTGCTCAGTAAGTACCGTCCCGGTTAGTTCCTGGGCTGCTCAGTAAGTACCGTCCCGGTTAGTTCCTGGGCTGCTCAGTAAGTACCGTCCCGGTTAGTTCCTGGGCTGCTCAGTAAGTACCGTCCCGGTTAGTTCCTGGGCTGCTCAGTAAGTACCGTCCCGGTTAGTTCCTGGGCTGCTCAGTAAGTACCGTCCCGGTTAGTTCCTGGGCTGCTCAGTAAGTACCGTCCCGGTTAGTTCCTGGGCTGCTCAGTAAGTACCGTCCCGGTTAGTTCCTGGGCTGCTCAGTAAGTACCGTCCCGGTTAGTTCCTGGGCTGCTCAGTAAGTACCGTCCCGGTTAGTTCCTGGGCTGCTCAGTAAGTACCGTCCCGGTTAGTTCCTGGGCTGCTCAGTAAGTACCGTCCCGGTTAGTTCCTGGGCTGCTCAGTAAGTACCGTCCCGGTTAGTTCCTGGGCTGCTCAGTAAGTACCGTCCCGGTTAGTTCCTGGGCTGCTCAGTAAGTACCGTCCCGGTTAGTTCCTGGGCTGCTCAGTAAGTACCGTCCCGGTTAGTTCCTGGGCTGCTCAGTAAGTACCGTCCCGGTTAGTTCCTGGGCTGCTCAGTAAGTACCGTCCCGGTTAGTTCCTGGGCTGCTCAGTAAGTACCGTCCCGGTTAGTTCCTGGGCTGCTCAGTAAGTACCGTCCCGGTTAGTTCCTGGGCTGCTCAGTAATTAGCTTATCAGGGTTGTTCATTCAGATCAAATGAAAAGACTAATAAATTCACTGAATATTTTTAATCTTTTTATTTTGTAATTGATTTTATATTTGGTTAACTTAGTTTAAAAGCGACCGTTGAAAATGTAATATTGCTATTACATTTAGGATCTGAGTAAAAGAAATAAATCTACGGGGGATCATGGCCATAAAGAGAAGAAAACATTCCTCCGAAAACGTCTCTTCAAATCACATTCCTACAAATAATTCACCTTCTTTAGCTCCTCTCATACAAGGTTGTTAAATACGTCAAATTTTCGTGAAAGAATACGACGTATTCGGTTCTAATAAAGAATACGTCGTAATACGCCGGAATACGGTAATTTCTATGGATTGTTAAATACGTCCACGAATACGCCATAATACGCCGTAATACGCTGATTTGTCAAAATTAAACATTACAGCTGCGCGCCACCCTCATCATTGATCATGCATTAAATAAAGGAGTGCAGAACTTATACATGATAACTTAAATTTGTAATCAAATTTCATGGATAATCCGATAAGATAACATTTTTTGCGAACGACACACCTTTTCGTAATACGTCAATTTTCGAGGAGGAATACGTATTCGTATTCCAATACGTATTCCCTCCTAATACGTATTTAACAACCTTGCTCTCATAGCTTTCAGAGTTTGACGTTACTTCATAAGTTGGCTTGGAATATTGTTTTTGCAATTAGGACGTCCAAAATTTGAAATTACCCCATTATGGGTTTGCTTTTTAAATTTCATTTATTGCATCAGCTGAATTTTTAATTTTTGACTATTGTTTTTATTTCCGTGTTCTTTTGAGCTGTTGGCATATAAAATGATTATGTTCGGATTGTATTGGTATTGTTTGTGCTAATATTGAATATGTTAAAGTACCCATATTATTTTGTGAATTTTGAATTTTTAAAATTCAATCTTCACTATAGTGCAACGATTTAGAATTGGCGGTTTTAAGAAATTGTTGGCCAATCAAAAAACACAAACAAATAAATCCAATCATTACCGGAACACTTTTAACCGTTTTTACGGTAAAAAAATCCGTTTAGTAAATTATGTTCAGAGTTTCGAGTATAATACAATAATACCTTTATACTTCGCTTCTCCGGGCTACACGTGATAATTCCCGACAGCCTGCTGGAGGGAAGTTGCGGCCCGAAGCAGCGAAGACATTATTTGTTATAATACCTTCCGGGAATTATATCCACTAAAACTCGTGGACACTGAGAGCTGATAATTTGCAGATATATCCCTTTAATAAGATATATCCCTTTAATAATAAGGCCCTATAATATTACAGTTAGATTCTTAATCGTTGTACTATAAGTATATTGTGATTGGATTTCCTGACACACATGAAATTGAATGTAACTAATGATGGTGTTACTCTATGTATTCATGATTATTTGATAGAATTACATAGATATAAGAGGCTAACCACCCTATAATATTAATAATGATTTTGAAGGATTGAGATTCTTTTGTTTCGTTTCGAAGCTATAAAAAGAAACTGAAGCTTGTTTACAATGATTTTCTTATAAGTAGAGGTTTCAGATTAAGTTTTAATTGCAGATTGTATTCGCAGTATAACTATAGGGTATAGACATAGCTGACGCTAAGAGAAACAGCTTGGTTATATTACCTTTTATAATATAAATATCGGTGTATAAATTGACATTGTTTCGTCCATACTGGATAAGATAAGATAAGCACGTCCAGTAATCCAATATTACCTGTCTGGATTCAAATTTAAACGTATCCTAATTTTTCACGATTTTTCGTGGCATTATCATCCCATTTTATAGATGTGCGGAAATTAGTTTCGAAAGATACAAGGTGTTCACGATGCATTGAAACGGTTCTAAATGTCTATAAAAACATATATGAAGGAGCACTCCACAATATTTTCCACTCATTTTCTTTGCTAATCGATTAAATTTATGTTACAACCAGTCCAGATATCAAAAATGTCACACACTTCTCAAAATTTCAAATATTGTGATGCAACATCCTGAGTGATAACTGTGAAGAATGTTTCTGCCAGAACTAGTTTGGAAATTGGCCCCCAAAATTTTTCATTTGGGCCTCAATCTAAAATCTGATCATTAGTGTGAAGTCAAAATACGATTCTTTATTGATTCTGAAAGTTTCATGCGAAAATATTAAGGAATGGAGAAGTAATTACGAATTGAGCGAATTCGCTCTTGCGAAAGACGAAAACTGAGATATTAGCGATTTTCAACGTTTTTTTGTGAAAGCTTGTCTAAATTACAGACTGCTGTTGAGTGCTGTCAATGGACTTAGTTAAATAATCCAGGTTTTGACGTAAATTATAATTTCATGATCACCTACCCTACCATGTAAACTTTGTTTCCCTGTATCCTCCATGTACGTACATTTCCGTCTTCAATTCGCGTTGTAGGTTTATAACTTGATACACCTTGCATTTCGGGCGCGAAAAGGGAAATGCAACTTCAAGTTATAAGTAAAACCTACTGACACTGTCACTATGAGTATGACGCTCAGAGTTCATGCTTCGACGCAATAATTGAATTTCAAATAACCATAATTACTGTATCACCCGTTAAAAATCCGAATAAAAACAAATTCGAGCATTACATTTACTCTCAAACTCAAATCCGCATCTTGAATTGTTAAAAATAAAGTCGGAAGTGTATGTAGTACTAGTAAGCACTTATTTCTTTATTAATTCTGTAAATGGTAAATGTATGAATCTAAGTTGATTCACGATGTCAATCCTTCGCAGCTCGGTGAGGCACAGTGGTGCATCTCGCCGATCTACCGAAGGATTGATGCATAACAACAAGACACGCGCTAAAGACGCGCATTCTCTGAGTGATGTTAACGATAGCTTTAAATTCACTGATGTCATTATTATTCAGCGTGACCGGTAATAGTTTAAAAATCAGAAGGAGAAAACACATGTTTAAATTACTAAAAAAGGAGTATCACTTTACAGGATTGAATTTAAATATAGTCATAATAGATAAGAGAGGAATTTGTTTCCCTTTGAATCAATCAAACTAGATGAATTGTTGTAAATACTTAGATCAAACTATCAATCTACAGGCTATCGTCAAACATGTTGCAAGGCGTCATCTTCAGTGACATAATAGATAAGAGTTTATTAACTATCATGCCAACTTTAGAGACGGTAACCACATTAAACTAAAGTTTTCCCAATCAAAATAAAGGGTTTATACAAAATAAAAGGTTTATGCACTAGACTGCGAGACAATTAACCTTATGCAATGCAGGTTAGTATAACTATAATATCGGACTGAGTTGAAATTTCTGAGAGCATGATACCCCAAAATAAATATATGCCTGTGTCTGGCAATAGCGTTCAGATGGCTTCCGAACTTGTGCGGATAAGATAATATAAAAAATACAAATAAACTATAATAACAATCTGAAAATTAATGTATCAGTACAGATCTTATACTCGAAATCAGGCACTTTCAAAACATTTCTCTTAAATTATCTTTCTTAACACCGTTCAATTATAACTTTAAATTAAAATATTATGATGATCCGGACGATGATAAATATTAAATTACAACTGATTATATTTATGGATTTCGGCCTGTCGATGCTGGAAGCTGATCAGCTAATCGTTAATCGTTACCATGTGACAAGAATAGTATGATGAACCTCCCAATCAGTATCTATGTATCAAAAGAAAATATTGATCTAATTCAACTCGTCGGGAGCCCTTTTGAAACATCTCGAAGTTAGAGTGCAGAGTGCATGATTACTGATTATCAGCACGATTGGGTGAAACAAAGACGAAACCGTGTGTTGATTAGAATTAAAAGAGGAAGATATTTAGTGATAAATTGTGCACTCTTGCATTTAAGTTTTAATTGTTAGACTTGTTCGATGTAGGGCCTTTAATTTAACCTAATACTAATGCAGTTACTTAATACTTGGTAAGTCTAGGGAAAACAGGTGCTAGTTGTCGGAAATGAAATGGAGTCTGTTAATGATCGAAGTTACATGATGCTGATAGATTTGATGCAGCTCAGCACTCAGCAGCCACTGTCTTCAAATAGAGTGTTCCAGTTCTGCAATCTGCAGTCTCAAATGTTTTCGCCCAGCTTTTCTTTTCATCGTGGTTATAGAAGACAGACCTGAAGAAATACTAGTATAATGATAAAATAGGTAACATGTCCAGAATGAGTAAAATTGTATTATCGGCAAATTTACTTATGTGAAAACTCCCAACAGGGTGGCGCTGGCCCAGAAGTAACTGCACACAAGCAACCCTTTAATGATCACGCACGTAATTTGTGTGAAAATATGTAACTCATTTAACGAAGTCAGTGAAAAGAACCTACCTTTATTTACCAATGTCGATTTTTTGCTTGTGATGAAGTAGTCCTCGCAAATGTGAGATATGTATGTAGTTTGTTTTTAAAAGTAGGATTGTAGTCATAGTCGATGTATAGCGACGGTAGTTTACCAGCAGCTCCCTGTACAAATAGAAATGTGGTTTTTATATAATATTACTAGTTAAATTAATGAGTACAATGCAGGAATAAAAAATGTGTCTTAAATGTTTTATATTAAATGTGTTATAATTATATTAACCACCTTATATTCGTATAATATGTACTCACAAACAATGATAGTCCCAACTGTTTTTAATTGCTTATAATTTAAACCTTCTTATTAAATAATTTAGATGACTGTGTCTGATCTAAAATTGCACGAGAAATAGAGAAAATTAGGTCTCAGACAGAACTCGACCGGGATATAACCGGCGCAGCCGGAATACCGGCTGGTATTTGGCGATTTTGTACCGGTACCGGCCGGGATTTTGGTTTTAGCCGGGATTTTTCCAAAATAAATTCAGTTTTTCTCAACGTTAATTTGAGTCCAAAATTAACAAATCTGTGAACATTTTCCTAAAACATTTTGACGAAGTCATTGAACAATGGAGACTGGAGTCAATCTATATTTAACATAATCATGGGTGTACGAATTATGGACTTCTTTCTGACTTATGACTTAATTATTGTGACTAAGTGTCACGGCTCACGGTCTTGTGTTACCGAGGGACAAGTAAAACAGAGTTCTCCGGGTAAAGAAAGCATTAATAAATGCTATTCAGTATTCATCCTATTCAATTATTCAGGTAAGGTGATGTAAACTGTAAAGTGATAAGCTCCAACGTCAAACACCATGTTCAATTAAATAAGTTTAAGTAACCAATACCAGATCACAGGATTGTTATAGTTACGGAGACTGTTGGAAACGATGCAAACCAGGATCGGACTCCTATCAGAAATAGTCGACCACCGGTCCAGCCTCCCTCAAACTCAAATGCCCTACCACTACCCGAGACCACATCCACCTCTTCAGCCAGGAACAGCGCTCCCACTATACCACTACCAGCAGTTCCTAC